AAATCTAACAAACCATGCTTAATTATATAAAACCATACGTCATTTCTTTTTATCACTCCGCCTGATAAAGACAAAAATGTCTGTCTTTTTTTCTTCTTTTCTTAAGACCATCATTAAAAAATTGCGGCATTCTAGGGTTTAAAAAAAAAGTAGTTTAAGAATTTTAAAAAAAGTTTAGTAGCCTATGTAGACATATAGCTACGCACGTAGCATGTTGTTTTTTAAAAACAGTGTTATAGTATAACAGACCTAATGTAGAGGCATACGATAAAATTAGATAGCAAGATAGGCTACGTTAAAATGTTTAAAATGTCACACTGGCTTTACATACATTACGATACTGACTTCTTAAGCAAATCTTACCCCCCCCCCACACACACATAGCATTTACTAACAAAAAACAGCTGACAATCTTATAAAGATTTGATTTTATTGGTGGGGTAAAATAGAAGGGGTTGTCATATATGAGTTATCGGTAGGTATCAATAAAACAGTCTAAGCCTCATTAATGCGCAATATCTATATATTATATATAGGCATAATTCTCTTCATGGCTCAACAGTTTAAAGAAAAGATCACTCTTTTATTTCTGCAAGTCGGACTAGAGTTACCCCACGTAAGAGGGGGGAGGGAGAACAAGTAATCTACTCTGTATTCACCCGTCACTAAATAGCAGGGCCGGACTTAACCATTGTTGCGAAACGGATTTCGCGTGGCTGTTTGGGTAGGGATACGGATAATAAGTGAAAATAATAAGTGAAAATTAAGAGTTTGTATTAGAAAATAAATTCGTTTTTGCATTTCATTCATTCTTTACTACGTACAGAATTTCTTTACGAGCGTGTAGCGAAGTCATACAGTATATCGTAAAAATTCTGTTTCCTACATAGATCACGCCCAGTAGTAAGAATTACCAAATATTTCAATCTATCTTTGAGAATTGTTGACCTCAAGTAATTTTTCATTAGTTTGAGGCGCGAGAAGCTTCTTTCACCAGATTCCACAATTACGGGTATTGTATAATGCAGTTTTTTTTAATCGCGCGAAGGATTGGCGTTTTCCATATTGAATGATACCCCAAAATGACAATTTTGTCTATATTTTAGGAGATTTTTTATGAGTTTTCAAAAGATTTTAAAAAGATTTTTCAAAAGATATCCAGGACTTTTTCGTATATTTTGCAATATCAGGAGATTTCTAGGAGGAAAATCTGTTATAAGTTATAAGATTGTTTAATTTAATAATTCACACCTAGGATTAGCGTGGGGCCTATGAAAATGCAGGCCCACTGCGATCGCATAGGTTGCAGTGCCCTAAGGCCGGCCCTGCAAAATAGCGGCGTATGCTACGCCGTGGATCGACTAGTAAGAAATAAAACACCTTTCAGCCTTTGTAGAGGGAAGTAGTCTTCAGAAGTGAAAAAAAAAATATATAGACTTATTGACAGTAATGAGAGTATATAGGCCTATGTGCCTATAGAAACCTAACGTACAACGCACATGTATATAGGCCTATTGTCGTAAATCTAAGGCAGTGTGTCATTATCGAATGGACATTGACATAAGTCTAATTATTAGTTAAAAGGAAAAAAACACAGAGAGACCACATGTATATTCCACTTATTTTTGCATTCAACACACACCAACCCGCAAATCTCATGCGACGCTCTGTCACAACCTTATTAAGGGGTCAACTCCCAGTTCGGCTTAGGATTTCTTTGATTGAGACCCGATATAACTGACTCCTAAAATCCGTCTTAGCCATCTTTCTGGAGCCACATTTAGACTTTTTCAATTTCGCGGATGACTATTCACTGCACTTTATTAATGGAGCCCAGCCACTGGTAGAAATGTGTAACCTCTATGGCTACGCGCTTGGAATTAGCTGACTGTAGTTGGATTTAAATTTATATAAAAAAGGGAAGTTTTATCGTCAAAATCATTTGGGGGGGGGGGGGGGATTAAACTAAAAAATCTGGGTAGTTTTTTTTTTTTTTTTTTTTAATTAAAAACCCCATTAGCTACGTCATAGAATTTGGTGACTGTTGTTTGCTTTAGAATAAAATTTAAAAGAAGAGTTTTCAACCTCAAAACTCTCTGTATGGGAGTATTTAAACTCAAAACCTTTTAAAAAAAAAGGCTTTCTGGAGGAGAGGGTTTAAAGTCACCCCCCCCCCCCCCCAATTGGCTTTGCGACGCTCATAGAATTTTGAGTGTGTAATTTCTTTTTTTTATATTGAAGAGTTTTTTGTTTTTTTTTTTAGCTCCAAACGCCGCTGAAGGGTGGTTTAAACTCAAAACCCCATATTGCTACAACCGTAGCATTTTGAGTGTGTAATTTGCATTTTTTTATATTGAAGACGTATTTTTTAGCTTCAAATTCCGCTGAGGAGGGGTTTAAACTCAAAACCCCTTTGGCTACGCTCATAGAATTTTGAGTATGTAATTTGCTTTTTTATATTGAAAAGATGGTTTTTATCTATAAACCCCGCTGGAGGGGGTTTTATACACAAACCCCTTGGCTATGCTCATAGAATCTGGTGATTGATGTATGGATAGTCTTAAATTGAAGAGAGGGTTTTATCGTAAATTTCGGAGGGGTTTTAAAATCAAAATTTTCCTTAGCTATGCTCTTGGAATTTGGAGATTGTCGTTTGCATTAATTATTTTTGTTTTGTCTTATATAAGAGGGGGATTTAATTGCGTGCTGGGGCAAGTGATAGTTTAGTATTAAAATCTCACCTAAAAAAACAAAATTAATTTAAAAAATCAGTCCCTAAATTCCGTCCTCCGCCCTGCGGGGGGTTTGGGGGGGGGTGATTTCATTTCGGGGGGGAAAAGCTGAACCCCAATCCCCCCCCCCTGGCTACGCCCATGCTTTATATAATTGTCTAGTTTGAGGATTAGCGTATGGGACCAAATCAACATTAAAAGCTAATGCTTAGAAAGTTTGAAGATAACACCAGATCATGAGACTGCCGATGTAAAAGATACTTTAGGGACATGAGCCCTAGCTATTGTTGTGATGTCATACTTTATGATCTATGCTTGTTGAGAGACAAGATAAGGGCCGGAGATAAACGTAAATAAATAGGCCTAGCGTTATCGCGAGAGACAAGATGAGCAACGAAATAGAATGCTTAGTTTGAAGCATTTAAACAAAAGTTGAACGTACACTGCAGATATTGAAACCATAACCCGAAAAAAATTTGGCCTACTTAAACTGAAAATACTATTTTTGATTGAAAAGCACGTTTTGTTTCGAGGAATAATTAAATCTCAGACCTAGATCTGGACTGGAAACACAGCCTAATTTCGTGTGATATTATTATGTATGCAGTTCTTCTTCATGCTTTACGGGAATTCGCCGTATAAATCTTGGAAAACGATCTTCTGTCTCAGAAAAGTAATGATCTTAAATGTTTGCCTGTTTAACCACAAGTCGAGTCACACTCATCTTGTGCACTAGACTTTCCACACTAACCGTATACACTACTGAAAGGGTCAATGGAAGGCAACGCGTGATTAAAAAAAAAACATGGCTAAAGAAAAATTAGATCTTTAAAAGCCTAACTAGGAACTTAAATGAAATGCATGTATTTTTGTTAGTCAGTTAACTGTTTACATTACCAGTTATCAGAAAACTATTAAAGTAGCCTACTGAAATCATAAGATTAACATGACAGGTAAACCTAAGGTTAGCACGAGCTTAGCAAGTCGACAGAGCCAAGGAAAGAGGCTAAAAAAAATAACTTTAAAGACTATGCTTACAACCTGTATTTGATGACGCATTTCTGTAAATTACAGGCGTATTAAGTGCCATATTTCTCAGACGAAACTACTCTTTGTAGTGGTTCCATCATTCGCGTAAATATAGGCCTGTATGTAGAACTGGACATTCGCGTAAATATAGGCCTATATGTATAACTGGACATTCGCGTAAATATAGGCCTATATGTAGAACTGGACATTCGCTTAAATATAGGCCTATACGCAGAACTGGACATTCGCGTAAAATATAGGCCTATACTTAGAATTGGACATTCGCGTAAATGTAGGCCTATACGTAGAACTGGACATTCGCATAAATATATATGTAGAACTTAGCACCACATTTTTTTTTCTTTCTACTGAGTCATTTACTATTAGTCCACTTAGGCTTGTCTGGAGAAGACGTTTATCAATTTGCTAGGGAATGCAAAAGAAAAAAAAATGTGTTCTTCCGAAGCTCTGAGTAGCAGGTTTCTTCTGAACGGATGAGCACCTGTTCATCAAAGAGCTGAAATAGAACTTGGCATTTTTCTACAATTAATGAGCGAGGTTGTGTCTTTAAACCAGATGTTATGAAAGATTTAAGTTGCTTGACGGATAGTAGGCGGGACTATGCCAATGAAATAAACAGCGAAAGCCGGACATTTCTACACTTTAGGACACGCCCTCTTTTTTTTCTGGTAACTCTGTGGCAACCCAGTCTTCTGTTCTCCTCAAAACCTGACAGGAGTATGGCAAGTCTCAAATACAGTATCTTTTAACTGGACAACCATTTACACTAACCATTAACAAAAGTAATAACTTCAATCAGTTATAGTCTAAAACAAAAGTAAGATATATTTTGGTTGACACAGTAAATGTGGTAGCAAGTTGTCAGAGTTGCCACCAAACGGATGATTTATGTTGGAATCCTGAAGAAGGCTTGAAGTTTTCCTTCAAAATGTTAGGACGTCTCTTAAACACATGTACCACAGAATATTTGTCTTGAGTTTACGTTTAATTAGTAGCAATATCGGCAAGTAGGGTGAAGGGCACTTGACTATATGCTGACAAAAAAAAAAGACATTTACTGACCAAAAGACATTGCTTTAACTTTGGAAATGGATGGACTTCATCTGTCATGAAGACTGTTGTCTAATAAGATCATTTCTACTTAATGTATTTGAGTACAATAAAAAAAAAAGTACATGTAAATTAAAGTAACTTTAAAAAAAAAGAGAAACAAAACAATTTGTCAAAATAAAGCTGAATTTATTAATTTTAAATAACAATGATCATAATTATATAAACCATAGGTCATCAAGTCCACCCAATCAGATCCCAAAGACAATAACAAAAACACCAACAAATCACAGAAATATATTTCACATGTGCACAAAGAGATTAGCTAAAAGACCCTAACTAAACAAAGTGAATCTAAAATGAAGTCAACGGCAGCATTCACAAAACATTTTCTGGACAACACACAAACACGTTGGGAAAAAAAAAAGTGGAACCAAACTTTTTTTTAAATTTTGAAGGAACATTTGAACATGTGATAGTAACATCTCTAATTTCTAAACACAGCCAAAAATTTGAACATGTGATAGTTACATCTCTAATTTCTAAAACACAGCCGATATTGTCTAGGTATATATATCTCTATTTTTGAGACCTAAATATTCATCTAATAGCCAAATGTACAAACAATCTAGTTCTATAAATAAGAAGAACACATTTGTTTCCTGTGTAGTTCAGAGTTCATGCTTTCTAAAGTAACTCAATGAGTGTAACCATGCTCAACAGAACTTAGTGTGAAGCCCTCTGATATTATGTTGGACAAGATTGCAGAAACCTAAGAATTTTTCTTCATTAGGCATCAAGTTCAGCTGTAACAAATACATCTCCTTTTGTCCGTGAACATTTTGATATTTGTGAAAATGATCTTGATCGTGATAAATCATGACACTCAGGAGTTCAAGAAATTATGATAGTAATCACCCATCCTTCATAATCTCAATAAAGAAAAATTAAAATGAAGTATTCACATGTAATGTTTAAATCTGAAGAAATAGCAGTGACATGAATCCAAAGGGTGTTATACCCAACAACAGCTGACAGCATGGTGATGAAGATTGAAAGAATCAAAGATGCAGTTCTCACTTGATCCATCCATTATCTAGTAAACAATATTGTGAACTCCTAATTATTAATCATAGACCAAGAATGAAACTTCAACTGATACTAAATAATACTTTTTAGTCTATCTTTATTTGCGTAGCCACTAGAAATACTGCATTCCTCATTAATCTTCGGACTCGAAGACAAGCCTTATTATTATTATTTGCTACACTTTTGTCTTTGAGTTCTGGTTTTAAATACAGATTTTGTCTGTTAGTAACTCAACAGCATAGAATAGTTTGATAACAAGAAGAGGTGAAAGGTCATTGAAATAGAATGTTAGTATTCACTCTTTACAGCAAACTGGCAAGATTGTCAACTAAGACAATTAACATCAAACATGATTAACAAATAGCTGCATAAAGCCTTGGCAGAAGAAATGGCTGTCATCACCCCATTTTTTTTTTATTGTCATAGGCTGACAATAGTACAAGAACAACAGATAAACAAACAAGAACTTTGGCAAAAGTCTAAATCTTGTACTTGTGGCTAACATAGACATGTACCTAACATAGACACAGTTCAGCTAATGTAGACATGATACATGTAACATAAGCACAGCCAATTACAATAAAGTGTATGCAATCTTTGCTAAATTTACTGAACAAATGACAAGCATTACAAAACAAGTATCTCAAATCCAAATTTATATAAATGTATCAACGCAGACAACTGTAATAATGCCATAGAAATAATGATGAGTTTAAACTTGCTAGCTCTGGATTAAACCAGAGTACCAGTTAAATGGTGTGATGGAGATAAGTTCATCCCTGGATTAAACCAGATTGGTACATGGTCTGATGACAAGCTTCAATAAACAGCAGAAGTATGATTCCATCATTACTGTAACTATTTTGTACATGTATACATGTATTAGAAAAAAAGTATTTTTTTTTATTAATTGAATGAGAACAGATAAAAAAATCATGGATGGAATGCAAAAAATGACAAATTATCTAAGTGATAAGACCTAGAACAAATTCTTTTAAGAAGAATAATACCAAATACTGCATGTGAACGTAATAGAAAATCTTTACTATAATTATAGGTATCAAGCTTTTTGTGTGTTGTTGAAAGCCCTTTATGAAGAAAGGGAACAATGTTATTTTGACTAAATAAAAACAAACACGTCTTTTTATAGATTTGTATTTCCAAATATTTTAAAACATAATCCTTTGTTATTGTTTATTTGTTTTATAAGTAATATTTGTATCTTACTAAACAATATTATTTTTTCTTATGATCCCAATAATTTTTCTGTATACTAAATGTACAGCCATGTGAAACAGATTGAATGATGAATGCTAGGCAATATTGTCTTCACAGAACTTCACACATATTAAGCACGTAAGTATATAACACTTAGTACTTGAGCATACAAGGTCACACAGCATGTGTGAAAGGAACAGGTTACACCCTTGTCTGGCACAACTTTGATTCTTTACATGTATTACTAAACAGAATAGAAATTGAACACTATGAGGCTTGTCCAACTAAGAAGGGAATCAGTTTTATTCTGTATAACTATAAAGTTTCCAATGAAAATAGATGAAAGATAAGTAACCAGAACACATTTTTTCTTTTTCATAACTTTTGTGGTCGGATGTTACTACAAAACAGAAATTTAGAATATAACACATATATATCTGTGTTAATTTTGTCTTTGTTGCTTAAGATATTTAAAGTTAATTTATGAAAAGCAAATAATTGCTTAATTTACTATATGGTTTTTCTGGGTTCCATACATAGACTGCAAAAAATTGCCTTATTTACTTTTTGAAAATAAAATTTTCGTGCCATATAGCTAATAGCTTTTTAAAAATAAAATTTTCGTGCCATATAGTTTATCAGTGTGCCAGGCTCCAATCTCTTGATTGGACATGTGGGGTATCTAGAAGGTTTCCGTGCTGCCTTTAGGTGCTTAGCAAACACAAATCAGCTTGAGCCGGGATTCAAACTCGAAGCCCCTTAATAGATAGCCAAGCAAGCAATGCATCACACATTTCACCTGAGAAACCACAGACTATTCAAAACTAAAATCTTATATAAGAAAAAAAAAAAGCACTTGTGTTCGGCTAAAATTAAAGGGATTTTAAAGAGAAAAAAAAAAGGTGACATTGCTTAATCTCATTGTGTAAAATTTAAATTTTGTGAGTGATAATAGCTTAACACAATCACTTATATCAGAAAATAATTGTATCACAATTATAGCAGGTGTACACACACAAAGTGTTCAATGCATGAAATTGTTGCAATAATGAAACAAAATGGAAATAGGCATACACCTACAAAATGGTATAAGTCAGGCTTACACCTAAGTTAATATGAAAAAAAAAAATTGGCTCTGGATAAGACAATATGAAGAACAAGAAATACAAATACAAACTAAGAAGAGCCACATCGAATCAAGTTCTGAAACCAAAATGTCTTAACATGAACTGAATCTCAGAATAATAAATCATGAAAGCCCAACATTTTTTTTTCTGCTTTATTTTAACGGAACATATGAAAAAAGATTGGTTTTGGCTACAGGGTAATGTACAAGGAAATCATTGACGGGGAAAAAAAAGATCATAATAGTAATAAGAAGTGCAATCCTCAATGGCTAAATGTTGGTTAAGAAATAATCTTTTTTAAACGAGACATAAGAGATTTCACAGTGTGAAATCCACTAATGCCATTCACATTTTATTTTGATATACATTTCACTGCACTATAGATTGTCTGGGTCAATAAAAGCAATAAACATCACAGTCCACAAATAGATAAATACTGGACAAGTAAATGTCGAACTTAGAACAGAGCTCCACAAATAGGTAAATACTAGACAAGTAAATGTCGAACCTAGAACATAGCTCATCTGAAATCGACCAATTATTGATGGCTAAAATAATTAAATCGTAATGGTGATGTGGACCTGAATGAAGAAACAAGTAAGAAAGTAAGAAGAATATTATGTTGTTTTTCTTTAGGTTTCTACTCCTACCAGATATTTTTATACAGACCAATAGAGGCAAATCAATGATAACTATTTGGAAATCTTGATAAACAAACTATTTTAATAAACCATATAAATATTTTTTTTTTACACTTTTCAGCACTGTTGAATCAATATTTTTTATCAATTTTGCTTGTAGCTCAATGCAATTTTAATTATTTACTTGGCAACATTAATCTTTTTTCCTCTTAACTCTTTCTCTCATAACTGACGATACCAACGTTGATTCCACCAGAATGTGGTAAATAACTATGGAGAGAAAGGGTAAATTTTCTGACATTTCAAGGCTACTTATTTCTAGATTTCCTTATATCACTATACTTTTAGAATATATATTAATAAAAGACTCATTTATCACTGTCATTAATTACATATGTAAGTATGTGTGAGAACACAGGGAAAAAAAAATAAAAAAAAATATAATCCAAACCAACATTAATAGAAACATAGTTCAAAAGTAACATCACAGAAACTGGTTTAAGAAAACATCAAAAAGTTGAAACATAATGAACACAGAAATGAGGCTTGCAAGAAACCCAGCTTGTGACATCACTTACAGGGCTTATGTTGGATAATTAATTCCAAACCAGCAAGGTTAGGTAAGGTAAAAGATGGCTGAGTAATCTTTACACTCCTATGCAAACAACCAGACTGGAATATAAGACATGCAAATACACACAAAGAAGACACAACATCATCATCATATTAACATTTTTTTTTTATCTAAGTCAGATTCAACTGGTATAAAACATACATTGCTAGAGCTTGGTACTATTGTAAAAGTACTAAGCACTCAAGCCCTGACTGACAGGTCGACCTGACACACACTGTGGAGTTTCCTCATGAAACACTGAGTGAGTAGTAAGAACAACTACTGAACAGGTGCCGTCAAGCCAGGAATTGTGAACTATTGAAACAGTGCACTGCTGTGAAGCACTAGCAACTGTGCTACAAGAATGTCTAGACAAATATCAGTCACAGAGTTTGTCCAAGAAAAAACAACATTTTGTCCAAAACAAACAAAAAAAAAAGTGAAAAAAGTCAAACAGTTGCACAGGCAGGTTTTTATGTTGTTGAGTGCCGAGCTCGGGAATGGTGGTGATGACCAACATGGGCTCTCTGTCTAATCGCATCAATGCCCAATGAGTTGTTTGTAGGATGAAAAGCTGATCCGGAGCACAAGCTAGCCAGGCCTTCAGTGCAACTCACATGCTGGAGCTGGGGAGAAAATTCACAGGAACTTTTCAAATCACATGACAAGTGTTTCACATCCTGCATAGGAGAAGGTTGTTATTTTAAGTACCAGATGGACATTGCAACACCTTGACCAGCTCAATGTAGTTCTGATTTTTACTAAAATTCATGTCAAGATTCATGTGTACATCTAATACTTAAGAACATTTTAAGAAACAAAATTAAAAAAAATACTTAAAAAAAAAACAACAAAGCTTATAGTAAGTGTTTCAATTAGTTTGGATCAGTCATGTTATTAAATTTGTAATAGATCTAGACTAACAATAATAAATCTGTGCGATTAGAAATATTTATACAAATTGTTTTTGCTTAGCGCAGCTTCATGCTTTTAGCTTTCTCAATATGCAATGATCCTATCACTTGTCTGGACCAGTTTGAAAGGGGTGGGTGAGAAAGAAAAGATCGTTTTTTAAATGTATTTATAAAAAAAAAAAACGACCTCAAGCCAACACAGTAACCACTCTGTTAGCAAAGAGCGTATGAACACGCATGGAAGATTGTATAGTTATCTATTGTTTCTATTTCATGTTTGTGTTCACTAAGCCTCAGAC